TATGGCCGCTTAAGGGTATTGTTTAGCAAATGATGGCAAACATTTTGAGCATCTAATTCGATAGTTTTTGAATGGTTTTAAGTTTTTTTTCAATACACTTTTCGCATACAAAGTTTTTGGGTTAAAATTTTTTGACAGTTCTAACAGCCAGCTAAATTTTGTTATTTATTGTCATGTGGCACAAAACAGCCCTAGGGTTGTTTTCACTCTATGACATTGCCTCGGACATTGCTGCCAAAAAAATTTCTATCCGAATAACTCTCGAGCATTGTTAAATACTCAAAAATTTTACAACTTTCTCTCAAGCTTGTTGCTTATACAAAACAGACCTAACGCGTCGGTCTCTTTTCAAGCAACAAGCTTTCAAAATCTGTTATAAATTTTTTTCGGACAATTATCAATGTCCTTGGGCAATTACTACTGAAAATGGTTTTGAATACAACAAACATTGTAATTACCTAGCTTTGTATTTTCTGTTTTAAATTTCTGATCAACTATCCTATATTAGGCCTTTGTCAAAATATTCCACCGTTCTCCAATTTTTGAACAGAAAGTCTGTGTTGCCACATTCCAAAAACCGCTTGAAATAGGGATTAGATATCAAGAGGTTTGACTAACAATAGAGTGCCATAATTGCATCAAAAATAAAGCGCTATTCCTATTTAACAAACAAAGTTAGGTACCTTCATTATCTGAAAACCGGTAAACTTGGCAACATTTTCGATGTCATCATTGAGTCGGGCATCATTAATTACTCATGTGCAGCTTCTCTGGAAATATTTGACCGTTCCGAGACTTTTGAAACACATTGTGTAATCAAATCGTCTAATCCGAACTGCCGAAGAGAACCTCCCAGAGACATAGTGTGGCTTTCGAACCGAGGTACAGCTGACAAGATTTTCAGTGCAAGAGAAATCCAGAGAAGAAAATCGCCCTCTATACATGGCCTTCATATATTTAGTGAAAGCATTTGATTCGGTCAACAGAGAAGGTATTTGGAAAATATTGCCAAAGGTAAGTAGTCCGCAAAAGTACATCCAGATACTCCGCCTGCAGCAGGATAATATCAATGCAACCGTAACCGTAAAGATCCACAAGGTAATATAATCTCGGATACTAAGGAGATTACCACACACATAAAAAACTTTTATAACCACCTTTATACCTCAACTATACCTACCTGACACAAGACTATCTAAAACTCTAGTCCGAGATGAGGGATCAGAGGACATCCCGGAAATAACAAAACAACAAATAAGAGCAACACTAAAGCAAATGAAAAACAATAAATGCCCAGGAGTTGCTTGCGAGATGTTGAAGATGGGGGGAGAGAAAATGGAAGAGGCATTATGTGTATTACTCAACAAATGTGTGCAAGAGGGAAAAATCCCTGACACATGGCAAAACGCTGAGGTCATCTTACTCTTTAAGAAAGGCGATAACACCAATATAGAAAATTATCGTCCAATCAGCCTGTTGTCACACGTATATAAACTCCTAACAAAGATTGTAACCACCAGGTTAACAAGCAAATTCGACATTAAACAACCTGTCGAACAGGCAGGGTTTCGGAAAGGATTTAGCACAATCGATCACCTGCAGACAATAAGAAACTTAATTCAGAAAACCACGGAATACAACGTGCCCCTGCACCTAGCATTCATAGATTTCCAAAAAGCTTTTGACTCTGTTGAAAGGTGGGCTTTCCTGCATGCTATGGACGATGCTAGAATTGACTCCCGCTACTCCAATTTGCTAAAACACATCTATGAAAACGCTACATTTCAGGTCAAAATAAACAAAGACCAAATAACCGATAAGATCAAAGTAAATAAAGGTGTGCGTCAAGGAGACACGATATCCCCCAAACTATTTACCCTAACTTTGGAAAATGTCTTCAAATCACTAACATGGGAGACTGAAGGTATCAACATCGATGGAATCTACCTGAGCCATTTACGCTTTGCCGATGATATTATTCTGAGTAGCAACATCCAAGAGCTTACAAACATGATTGAAGAACTAAACGCAGCATCAAAAAAGATCGGCTTGAGCATGAACCTATCAAAAACAGAAGTTATTAGTAACATGGAAGTAAACATAAAAATATGTAGAAAAAACTACATTGGAAAACGTAAACGAACACATATACCTGGGACCTGTTATAAAGATAGGCAAAGAAAACCAATCAGCTAAAATAAGACGTAGAATAAAACTGGCTTGGATAGCCTTTGGAAAACTGAACTACATCCTCAGAAATCAGGAGGTACCAATAAATCTCAAAAGAAAGGTCTTCGATATGTGTATTCTACCAGTGGCAACCTATGGTCTAGAAACAATGGCAATGACAAAGAAAAGTGCTGAGCGCCTGAGAGTAATGCAGAGAGCCATGGAACGGGCCATGCTCGGTATAAATTTAAGAGATAAAGTCAGAAATGAAGAAATCCGACGAAGAACTTAAGTCGCAGATATAATGAAACGCACTGCAGAGCTCAAAGGAAAATGGGTGGGACACGCGGCTAGACAAGAATAAAATCGATGGACATCAAGATTGCTACATGGGAGACCAAGACTGGAAAAGCGTGGCGTGGGAAGACCACAGAAGAGATGGCTCGACGATATAAAGAAACAAGCAGGAAGGAGGTGGTTCCAGATGGCACAAGACAGAGACGCGTAGAGATACATGAAAGAGGCCTACGTCCAGGAGTGGACAACAGATGGCCGAGGAAGAAGAAGGAAGAAGATGCGGATTATAATGACGTGATAGCAAATACGACGGTCTTCAGGCAATTTTCAATGCATTCAACCAGACATACAGGAGATTCTACACCAACCCACAGCGAGCACTAATCCCCAAGCCCCAAATATACCTAACTATAAATTACTATTCTTTGCAAAACGTAGAACACTACCCATACCTTGGGAGCTACCTATCTGTCAACAAATGCAATCCTTGACGCTGAAATCCAACATCGCTTGAAGTGTGGTAGCGCCACTTTTAGAGAGAGTCTTCAACAATCACGACATCGGCCGGCGCTGAGATTAAACTTCGCATCTACAATGCCGCTGTAATACCAACACTTACATATGACTGCGAAACATGGATCACCTATAAAAATCACATAAAAAGCCTAAAAAAATACCACCAGCATTGTCTAAGAAGAATCCTACGGATTAAATGGCAGGACCGATGGACGAACGTTCATCGAAGCCATCAACATTACGCACCAATTCCGCTGGTGCCTTGTCCTCTACAGTCAACTGAAGGAAAACGAAATCAGGGAGGTTAACAATTACGCTACCAGGATGTTCTTAGGGAGAATATGGTAGAGTGCCGCATCGATGCCAACAACCGGGAGACGACGACAAATGATAGGTCCTCATGGCGTCGAGCAGTCCACGACGGATCACAAACTTTTGAATAACAGCGGCGCAAAAATGAGACCGAAAAAAGGGACCGCAGGAAGGAGCGAGAGAACAGAGGCAAAGACGATACTGCCGGAGGCTGGGTGCGCCAAGATTGTGGTAGAGGGTGCGGCTCCATAATTGGTTTATATAGCCATTAGAAAACACACAATCGACGACAATAAGAATAGAATAGAAGATAATGACATTCGGTATCGAGTGATCGCCTATCATGACAGAAACAGTATTTAAAAAAATATATATCAAAAATTATGCAGGCCAATTAGGTGCAAGGGTATTTTTATTTTGGTTCATACAAAAACCTGGAGTAGATATACTTAGATGTTATTTAAAACGGGGCCAAAACTTGTTGTAAGAATATAAGACAATTATCGGGTAGCGATCGGCCGTAAGTTCGATCGCCGATTAATCAGAATATTGGTTTATTTTTGAAGTTTTATAATAATGAACGTATTTTTCTCAAATATCAGTTTCATTTGGTTAAAAAAAGGTCAATACTGCCTGCTGCAGGCTTAAAAAACCAATTAACATAATAGTCTAACCAAATTAATTTTATTTTGATTGCACCACTCAGATTATTCAATATGTTTTCATTATTAGGGTTTTTTTGTAGAGCCTAAAATATTGCTGTACCTACGTAGTTTATTCGCTTTAATTTCATTAATTAAGGGGATTGAATGCGCCTCGATGCCAGAATATTTTTTCCTGCGCGAAGCACCTAACGCAGTCTATCATTGTATTCTTCCTCCCCTATTAATACTCCTTAGTGGGAATGAGATGAATGAAACAAGGAATGCATTGCGTTCTTAGTTTAAACGTAACTTTTTAGCAGTTGAAGTTATATCAAATTTCTTTTTTGCATTCGATTTATAATATAGGGAAGAATGGCGCTATCTTTTTAGAAATCCGGTAATAGAAACGAGCTCTCCAAAAATTACAAAAATGTAATTCAAACTGGAAAAAAACGAGAAAATTAATCAATTTATGGTGTCTTTTTTAATTAGCGCCAATCTTATGTGTGTTAGCAATACAATAGCACAACCAGAATCCCAAAAATTATCTAGTTTTTTTTTTGTAGAAATTTAATTAATTCTTCTTGTAATTTTGCCTGTCTCTGTTATACCCGCAGCAAATCCTATGGCTCTTTCGTCCGCCTGTTTTGCGATAAATTTTAAATCGCTATCATGAAGGATCCAGCGCCAACCGGCCCAACAGTAGCCCAATGCAATAACCGCCATGAACCTCGCATCTTTATTAGTATTAACTTGTTGGGTAGTCGTATAGTTCGACGTGCGTTACAATATATTTTAAACGGCGCATTCAATACCCTTAATGTGCTGGGCTCATCAACAATAAAATAATACCAATATCATAAAAAAATACGTAAATTGACAAGGTCGCATTACCGGTAACACAAAGGCTAAAAAAAAACCTTATGAAGTTTTCTGACTACGCTACTGGCCTGATGGCTATTTGTGAATTATTATGGAATTGTTGAATACCTAGAGAGGATATTATAAACTTACATGCAACCCATTTTACAAAACATAAATAAATCTTTCTCTAACACCTACCTTCGAAATCTCCCTCTTTTATTTCAGTAATCCTGTTCTCTTGCATCTCAAGCTTCTTCAGCATGTCTAGTATACCTAAAGATCTTTGTGGAACAGCCGTTAATCCATTGCCTCCCAGGTTAAGGCGTTTCAGCTTTCTGAAATCCAAAGTTTTACATAAAATATGTGAGGGTTTTCACACTTTCTATATGGTTTTAGATATTTTGGCAAATAAATTGAATCTACATGTTATATCTATGCACTATTTAACCTTTAACTGAAACAAAATGAAATGAATCGAATTTAAAACTTTCTGTATACTTTAGGTTATACAAACTTATCAGTCTGTAGAAAAGTTTTATTTGTTTTCTTCTTAGTAACTTTGGTTTTAATACCCGAACCTCACCAAAGTCTGAGAAAACAAAATTATTCTTAGGAAACTAACTTTTGAAATTTATTTCCGACTACTATCAAACAGTTTTGGACTTAGTTGATTTATTTTGTAATGAATATCAAATTGTGGGTTTTTTTAAACCGTTTTTATGAATTCTAAAAAAAAAGTCCTAAAAATAATCACATAAATAAAAGCGCCACTTTTTTTTTTCAAATTTTATGGCCATAACCATAAAGTTTTTAAGTGTTTGAAAATAGCTCTGAGTTGAAAATGCTTTTAATTAATAGTCGAAAGATATTAATTAAGATAACGTCGCTTGAAAATAATTTACAATTTAAAAATAAAGTTCCACTTACTTTTCCAGGCCGACAAAAGCGTCGGCATCAATATTAGTAATTTTGTTCTCATATAATGTGAGGATTTCAAGAGTATCCAATCCCTGGAAGGCTTTAGAGTGTAGACTTCCAATTTTGTTATGGTTCATATTCAATATCAGTAGGTGGTGCAGGTTTTTGTAAGCCGCTGACGGTACTTGGGTCAAACTGTTCTGTGAGACGTCTAGTTGGGTCAACATTTTTCCTGAAATATAAGAAGTGTATTAACACAAAATTTTGGTGAAATTATTTGGGAGATTTTATTTCTTTAAATTGGTAGAACCGATATCGAACTGAATAAAAAGAAGACGAACTTAACTTATTTCGAAAGGTACCTATATAATAGCGAAAAAGTATCTTTTTAAGTTTTACGAAAGGCACGTTTTCCTTATTCCGACAATTTGTCTGCCTGCCTGTCTGTCTGATCGTGGAGCTCTAATAAGACATTTAACTCAATTACCGTTTTTTTAGTTCCCAGATATTTTTGTCCCCTACATGCATCGCAAGCGAATATGTTTTCGTCCCGAATATAACTTCTATTTGGTTTACTAGAATATATCAATCAATTTCACAACTTTTTGTACCTTCAATAACTTAACTTCTAGCCGCCATAAATTTTTCAAAACGACTATGTCAGCCGAGTGGCGGTGTCATAATATCTACTTGTAGTGATCCAGAAAAAGTAGGCATTGATTTGCAGGGACTTGAATACCCAAAAATAGAGTTTTCTGGAGATAAAAGTAAATTAAGGTGCAATTAAATAGTAATCTAACTGTTGTCCAAAGGTTTCGGAAAGACCACAGAAAACAGTTTTGCAATTGACACTTTTGTAAAGGGACGTACCTGCATAATATTTTAAATTCAATGCGAAGTGGTTTCAAGAGTTATTTTAATCAAGATTAACAAGGAGGAAATTTTCCCATATATATCCTATGAACTTCCTACGTTCTCAAAAATCTTAATGTAAATAAAATAGAAAAATTTCAAAGCTCTCAAATAAAAGCTGGAAAAAATTTAAATTGAATCAAATAATCTATTATCTAATAAGTTCAAAATTGATGTAATAAATAATTAAAAAATTGCCAGTCTTATGACATTGCGTGGTTCCTGAACTTGAAAAGAAACCCATAAGTTAGGCAACGAAAGAATATCAAAGCAAGGCTAAAGTAATTAAATTGAGGGGGCCAAGTGACAGATTCATTAAAAAAAAAACATCATTTATGGCCGACACGAGTTTGGCATCCTTTGGTAAATGTGGCCTCACATTTTCACGATATCCGTTGAAACCGATAATCAAGGAAATTGCGACATCTTTGGTTGAACAAATAATTAGTAGTTAAGTTCGCGGGTTTAGGACAAATAAAACTTCCGTTTTCTCTCAAAAAAAAACTGCCGACATTTCGACTTTAATTTAAGTCATTATCAAGGCTATTTTTTCCGAAGAAAGGGAGTGTGTCGCTACAACTATATACACACTGCTCTTCTTAGGAAAAAATAGCTTTGATAATGACTTAAACTCGAAACGTCGGCAGTTTCTTAAAAGAGAAAACTGGAGTTTTGTTAATCCTAAACCTGCGAACTTAACTACTAATCCATTAAGAAGAACGCTATACCTACTTTACAATGTTGAACAAATAATTATATTTTTTTGGAAATAGCGGGAGATGATTTTGAGTCAACGTATCAAAATGACGCTAGTTCATGGCGAGACCTGAAACTACTTAAATAATCAGGAAGAGGGAACAAAAGGCAGTCATCATTCCGATATAGTCTAGAGTGGAAAGTCGAAGAGTAAACAGTCATCCCGTCCCGCCCCAAGGTCAAATATCTGGGAATGACACTCGATTGCAAACTAACTTGGAACGTGGGGTGCTCCCCCAAGGTTATAATGTGGATCTATACATCTATCATCCAGGCCTATGAATACCTATTATAGCTTTTGTCTGGGGCTACAAAGCCGAGCAGACCACTACTAGCCGAAAACTAGACCACGTTCAAAATATGACACATGCCTCAACGTAACTGGTGAAATGAAAAACGCCAACTGCAATACCATATGTCGTCTTCTCTTCAAAAAGTACTACGCAATCAACACGAAAGGCATTGGTAACAACACAGTGGTAGGGGTGAGCAACATCTACACTGACGGATCCAAAACTGAAACAGGCTCGGGATGTGGAGTATACTCCAAAGCTCTCAAACTGAACCTAAATAAAGCCCTTGGCTCCATGTCAAATGTACTCCGAACGGAAATTACTGGCATAACCATCGCTGCAGCCAGTAACAATATCACTGATGAGATCTTGCACATCCACACAGACTGCAGACAAGCAGCTCTATCTAGACCACGACACACGTCAGAACTAGTACAAAATTACCACCGTACCCTCACAGAAGCGTCGATAAAAAACCAGCCGAAGATATTATCAAAGAACGCTCCCACACCCTTTTCAAAAAGCGCTGGGACGATACGATTGGCTGGAGCTTATCAAAGGAACTGCTAAGCTACCCAGATAAAGCTGAAGCGAGCCAGAAACTGTCGTTGACCAGGAAACTACGCCTAATAACGGGCATCTTGACTGGCCAATGCCAGTTGAACAAACATTTATTCAGGTTGCATATTAGCTCTACACCCTTTTGTAGGGCTTGTAATCAAGAAGAAGAGACGATGGAGCACATTCTTTGTGACTGCACTGCTCTTTCGCCAATACGCAGAGCAAGATTAGGCCAATCACACTCATCCCTAGAAGAGATCAGAGGCACCGCACGTTAAAACGCTAGACTGGATGACGAGCTACTGTGGCCTTAGTATTGTGGCAAACCACCCTCCCAAACTTATAGATACCGATAGTGACATGTTGTAGGTTGTTTGATATTGGACGGAGATAATAAATGATTTCACTCTGGCGTTAGCAAGTAAAAAGAGGTGGCTGTAACGATTGGAAAATGGGATTTTATTTTAGGTATTTTTTTTTTGCTCTGTTTATTTCATATAATAACAGTATATGTATAAAAACCTGCAGCTGTTGTTCTCATTTGCAAATAGACCCCCTCCAAAATTTTATTTGTAGCTACCCAAGGAAATAAACACTATCAATAAAACCGCTCTCCATTTACCATCTAACTTATTGATAGAGTACTTGGGGGAAAGCTACATACTGATGAAATATGAGTTTGTTCGAGTTTTCATTCACCTACTTGGCTTTTGTATGATCAATCTGTTATGCAAACTTAACGCTCTGCTCTTATAAGTTTTTAAGACACGAAATTCTAGAATGGCTGTTGTTAAGAAACTGAGCATCTGTGGTCGTCATTTTGAATTCGACACTCCACCAATCACAAGCGCCACTTGAGACAATCAGGAAAAGATTTTGAAAAAATCTATTCTTTAAAATATGGGGCAGTTTTTTCACCTTACAAGTCAGGTTATGCAGTGGCGCTGTTTCTGAGAAGTCTTCCAAATTCCCCTCAGGGAAATTTCTGGTTTTTTTGCTTTGTATTTAGATTTCTGGTGTTTCAAAAAGGCCACTCATTTGTGATTTACCGAAATGCCAACCCTAGTTCTTGTCACGAATATAGTGGTTCTCAACAACGAGTGATGAGATTCAAGATTAAGGCTATTCAATTGTTTTGTACCAATCCCCTATAATATGCTTAGTGAAACGGTCTCAGATTCCATGTTTTTAGCCCTTTTTTTTTGGGGCACCCAGATTTGTAAGAGTCAAGGGCTTTTCCATACCTCGGCTGGCTTTTTCGGATCATAAATTTAATCCGCTTTTCCAGCGGCTTCTTTAGACTGGAAGGTGTAGTGTTGATGTCATTTTGGATCTCTGAAAGTGTTTTTTTTTTTCTGTCGGGAAACTTTTGATACGAGTAGGCATTTAAGTATTAGGTACCTTTTTTCCAAGACAATTCAAAATCTCAAAATTATCAATCGTCAAAATAAACGATATAGGAACTGTTCAATATTCTGAATTATTGATAATTTAAATAGTGGGAAATGAGATCTTATACATAACTCGGTAGGAAGCTTTCATTATTGTCTCGAGATTCAGTGAACCTTGGCTGCGGGAAGTTTTAGTATCATATTTCTCGACAGTAATCGAAAAAATTAGGAGTCGATGAGTATACATCGTTGCAGATATTGCTGAAATAGAACTTAATATTGGCCACCGGTGGTTTGGATTGGCTCGCATCGTGCAAATGCTCGAATAGAATTTAGTTTGTGCGAATTGCTGAATTTAGCATCTAATTTTAACATATAAAAGGCTTCCAAAACCTAAGTTCAAATTGACGTGATTTTTTAATGTTGAAATTTATATCATTATAAAATAATAGAGCGTTTTGAGTATGATGTGAGTATTGATTGATCCATGTGTCGCAGCCGCCCAGAACTTAAAGGTTTGAGAGCGGTAAATTTATTTTGTTCCTGGATGGCGACAAGTTTTTATTGTGAGACTAAAATACAACTGTGGTCAAAAAGATTACCTACAATATTCATTCACTTTAAAGTTAAATAGTCGTCGGTCTCAATATATTTTACAAAATAATTTCCGAAATCCTATCTTCAATTAAATATCTAATCTTTCTTTTTAATTAGGTAAAATTTAATAAAAATCATTTCATTTTTCTAATTAAGAATTATTTAAATATAGAAAAAGTTCTATTAAAAAATTAGTTCATTATTTACCGAATAAATTTTACTTAATAATCATTGAATTATTACCACAAAATCCTAATTACCGTGAAAGTTCAAATTCAAAAGCGTTGAAACATTCCCTAGTTTATTCATCAGGCTTCACCTATTTATTACAATATTGACTTAGCTTTTGGCCTCTTTCTACTAAGGCCTACAAATGACTAAATTTCTCATAGACACTCTCTTTCATTAGTTTTACAAGTTCATAATTACTGACATATGACTATTACTACACTAATTACTGCTGGCACAGACCTAGTTACTCGTACTTTATTTTACGTTTGGAGATAACTTGAACTTTTACTTTCAAAACCAAAACCGAAGATTCGCGCTGCCTCGTTCACTGGCGTAGTACTGCTCGCGTAGTGCAACTCCATGTAATTTTGCAAATATGACATAAGTATCGGAGTTGTGGTTTCAAGTAGGTACGTAGAGACTTAGCTGTAATCTCTCCAATCTCCAACCATCTCTGTCAATCCAGGCGTCCTGCTCCCTCCTCCAAGACT